CAACCCCTGGGCTGGCCTCACGCTACGTGCATCGATAGATGAGCAAAATTAAATGAATCTTCCGCCAGGACATGGCAATATACCTACTACACGTGTGTGTGTGTGTGTGTGTGTGTGTGTGTGTGTGTGTGTGTGTGTGGCGGAGGAGGGGCGGGAAGAGGAGCGGGAGGAGCGGGAGGAGGGATGGGAAAAGGAGCGGGAAAAGGAGCAGGAAAAGGACGAGTGGGAGGAGAAGCGGGAGCAGGTGCGGGAGAAGGAGCGGGAGGGGAAATGCGAAGGGGCGGAGGAGCCGCGGGAGGAGGAGCTGGAGAAGGAGGAGCGGCCAGGGAAATGGGGAGGGGGTTAGGAGCGGGAGAAGGAGCACGAGGAGAAACGGGAAGGGGTGGAGGAGGCGAGGGAGGAGGGGCGGTAGAAGGAGCGGGAGGAGGAGCAGGAGGGGAAACGGGGAGGGGGTTAACGAACACGCGGGAGGCGGAGGAGGGGAAGGAGATATAGGCCGAGAAGGAAAAGCGGGAGGAGCACGAGGACGAGCGGGAGAAGCGGGAGGAGGAACGGGGGAAAGAGGAGGAAGCAGCGGGAGAAGGAGAAGCAGCAGGTGGGAGAGTGGGAGAAGGACGAGCGGGAGAAGGAGCGGGAGGAGGAAACAGGGGAAAGAGCAGGGGAAGCAGCGGGAGAAGGAGAAGAAGCAAGAGGGAGAGCGGGAGAAGGAGCGGCAGGGGAAACAGGGAGGGGGTTAAGAGCACGAGAAGAAACGGGAAGGGGCGGAGGAGGCGCGGGAGGACGGGCGGTAGGACGAGCGGGGAGCGGGAGGGGAAACGGGGAGGGGGTTAATGAACGCGCGGGAGACGGAGGAGGGGGAAGAGATATAGGTGGAGGAGGAAAAGCGGGAGGAGCATGAGGACGAGCGGGAGGAGCGGGAGGAGGAACGGGGGAAAGAGCAAGCAGCTGCGGGACAAGGAGAAGCAACAGGAGGGAGCGCGGGAGAAGGAGAAGGAGGAGGAAAGGGAGGAGCAACAAGAGAACGAGCGGGAGCGGGGCTATGGCGGGATGTTTGTCACGTTGTTTGGCGCAGGAGGAGAAGGAGGAGGAGGAGGAGCGGGAGAAGGAGCGGGAGGAGGAGCGGGAGGAGGAGCGGGAGGAGGCGTGGAAGAAGGAGCGAGGAAGGAGCTGGAGCGAGGCTATGGCGCGGGAAGAGGAGCGGGAGGAGGGGGAGGACGAACTGGGGGAAAAGCAAAAGAAGCAGCGGAAGGAGGACGAGCAGCAGGAGGAGCGGGAGGAAAAGCAAGAGAGGGAGCGGGAGAAGGAGAGGGAGGAGGAGAGGGAGGAGGAGTGGGAGAAGGAGCGGGAGCGGGGCTATGGCGGGATCTTCGTCACGTTGTTTGGCGGAGGAGGAGCAGGAGGAGGAGGGACTGGGAGGAGCGGGAGGAGGAGTGGGAGAAGGAGAAGGAGAAGAAGAGGAATGGGATTCGGGATGGGGTTGCATCTTACAGCCCCTTGCTCCATACTCTCCTTCTCATTTTGCACATTCGAAGGCTGCTCAGTTCATGCACAAAGGAAATTGTTGAAGCGACCATGCCTGGGCGTGTGCGCGGGCGTGTGTGTGTCACATACATAGACACACACAGAGAGAGAGAGAGAGAGAGAGAGAGAGAGAGAGAGAGAGAGAGAGAGAGAGAGAGAGAGAGAGAGAGAGAGAGAGA